ATTGCAGTCATAGATTGCTCATGGGCCAAATTAGAAGAAACTCCCTTCAAGAGAATGAGAGGAAGTCATCTTCGGCTGCTGCCTTACTTGGTGGCTGCAAATCCTGTAAACTATGGTCGGCCATGCAAGCTGTCCTGCGTGGAGGCTTTTGCTGCAGCTTTTTGCATTGTTGGTAAGCTGTAATGTGTCTGATGTGAAATACATTACCAGCAAGTCTTACATACTTAATAAATCAGAAGAGATGCTCTGCGATAGAGTAAATTGTAATGCTGTCCCACTGGTCATCCTCCACTTTGTTGAGTTTGGAATCGGATTGTTTAGCTTTCTTCCAAGTACTTGTATCTGGTAACATTGAGGTATCTGTGGGGTGTTCGTGTTGGCTACTAAACACATAAACTGATGATCCTGGTTTTGTCAGGATGGCACTTAACGTTGGAAAAACTGCTAAAAAAAGCCACGGAAGACAGAGCATGAATCCTTAGGCACCTTTGTCTTAATGAGAGGTAACAGCTGTCTGTTAATAGGCTGGGTTCTGGTTAAGAACAAAATAAATTGCCCCTTCTTGTGATGTTTTGTAAACTCATCACAGAACTTTCTTGGCAATTGGAGACATGCTCTACTATACTGCAGACAAGCCTTCTGAAAATATTGTACCTGCAACGGCTCTCTTACTGAAGGACTGTGGGAGCTAGAGCTTGAATCATTCATTACCTGTACAAAATGTTTTTATATAACACTAAAAGATTATGAACTTTCCTTGGATTCAGTTCAATGTTTTAAGTTAAACTGAAATCTGAAAACATTTTAAATCTTTTTAAAAGATTAAAAAATGCTGGGAAACATCTCGCTGTTGTGGTGATACATAGGTATGTACTGAACTGAGAAACCTGTAAGCTGAGTGGAATCCTACAATGAAAAAGAAATCTGATGATTTATTTGCTGTTTCAGGATTCCCAGACCTAGCCACCGTTCTTCTAAGAAAGTTTAAATGGGGTAAGACATTTATTGACTTGAACAAAAATCTCTTGGAAAAATATGCAGCCTGTCATTGCCAGGAAGAAGTGCTGAGAGTTGAAAAGGACTTTTTAGCCAGTGTCCAAGAAACAAAAGGCGAAGAAATAGGTAAGAAAACACAAGGACACACCACACACACCCCATTTTCCTGATTCCCTTTCAATCTTTTCCTTTTATCTTATGAAAAAATTGGCAAGGTAGAAGGTAGGAGCTTTGTTGAGATGTTTTATTCTGTCTTTATGCTGTGTATTCTTATAAGCAAGTTTGCCTATTTTTTCAGCTCAAAAAGATGAAAATGACTAAAGCAATTTAATGTGTGTAGTAGTGTATTCACAACTGAACTGTGGAGCAGCTACCCTGATTAAATTAAGGATATTGAAGTAAAAAGAAAATATGATGCTTCATTTTACCTACAGATGGTAAAAACAGAGTATGAGTAAAAAGACTAGTAATTCATGAGGACTGTAAGAGAAATATAGGCATACAGTCTGACAGCAAGTTAGCTACACATAAACCTGAGAAAGACCTTTAATGGATATGTTTATATAGTCCCTCATCAAGATGATTAAAATTAGACCTATAAAGATAATGAAAATAGCTTAAAATAAGTACAGTCGTTTATTCCCAAATTCTTCCAGTAACTTGCTGTTATCCCAGTATTTCAGGCTATATTCATAGGTGAGTGCTTGGACTCATTTGAGACAGCACAAAAAAGCCAAATCAAATGATCAAGAACATAGGCAGAGAGATGCTCCTCATTCATGTTTTCCTTTCACAGAGGTTAAGGTCCATAAAAACAGGCCAGGGGATCACACTGTAAGGAGATGGTAGCCAGCCTTTAGTTTCTCTGAACTTTGATCTCTTTGCCACGACATGCTAGGCTGAATGAAATCGCCCTCCTGTTTGGTGGAAGCCTAACTGCTTTACATTAAACTGAAGACAGTTCTTAAGGGGCAACACTGCCACGTCAAATAAAGCACAGTTCCACCCACAATCCTATTTATTTTCTGGATGCACTGTAGTGCCACAGCTCTTATGCCTTGCTCAACTTTTCTGAGGTAACAGCTCTCCCCAGCTGGGTAAGCCAAAGTAAATTGAGCCCTACCCGTACTCCGCAAGAGCTAAACCTGGACAGCTGTACTTCACTTCTCAGTAGACATGAACGAACTAGACAGACCTTTTAGAACTAAACCATTCTGAGAACATCCGTGTTTTCTTACCGAAAGCCTTAGAAACCTATCTGTACAGTCTGACTACCCCTAAAGAGCTACTGAACCCAGGGAGGGGGGTGGCACAAAGGGCACGGAAAAGAGTGAAAAGACTGGAACAGGGCAGGGGCAGGACTTAGCAGTTGTTTCTCACTTCCCCTGATTTCTGACCAAATGACTATGGTAAACTTAGCAGAAAGCTGAACCAGACTTCCTCTGCCTTCCCCTCCCTCCCACTAATCCTCTCTTAAAACAAAAATTAAGGCAGATCATTAAAATACACAGCCTTCATCAATGTGCTTGTTTTTTCCTTATTTTTCAGATCCATTTGATGTTGACTCAGGAAAAGAATTTTCTAATCCCAACAGACCAAACAATTGCCCAGGGTAATGGAATTTAATTTAAATACTTTTTTCTTATTATAAAGTGTTTTGCTTCTATAATCCTGAAAAATGCTTCCAGAATAGCACAAAGTAATGAAGAATCTGAAGATGACAGCGTGAGCACTCCCACTGATGCCACTGAAAGCAGTGATGAGAGCAGTCCAGAAGATGATGGTACTGTAAAGTTGCTGCAACAACAGCCCATGAGTGATCTATTTGAAAAGTAAAAAAAAAAACCCAAGCCAAAACCCACAACAAGCAAGCAAAAAATCCCACATACCACAAGAACATGAGAACTGCCCCCAACAATCCCAAAGAGTTGTAACACCTTGTATAAATAAATTTCCTTGTGAAGTTAAGTGTGGCTTGTTCACCTGTAACTTGGTGCTTAGCAAATGCCTTCCTTCAGGTGACCCTCAGGCTATAATGTGGGTATATAGGTCTACTTACGCACATAAAGGCTTTAGGTTATTTAATTTTAGATAATCGTTTATAGAATGCTAATTATTATGTAAAGAGCCTGAAGCTTAGTTAGGAGTTAAAACTCCACCTGTATTTTAACCAATGTGTCTGGTACGTGCTCCATAGGGATTATTTTTACCTAATAGTACGTTAAGTAAACCCTTTTAACTGCGGGACTGGAAAACATGACTAAGTTATTGCCCTGTTCAGAGTACCTACCACATGAGGAGCCTCTGACTTTTTGCAGGCTTGAATCTGCCACATGTATTTCAACTACTTCATCTAGTTTAGGGTAAACTGACTACGTAAGGTTGAAACGAAAAAATGCTTCCTGGAACTGTTCTAACATCTTAGTAGTCTTTTCAGTAACTTTACATGCTTTTTTTTTTTCTTTTTTTTTAAAGTTTACTTGGATAGACAGTCCCAAGCAACATACAGTGCTTTGGCACTTTATATTCAGAACTGTACCACAGGATTTCAAGTAACAGGCTCAGCCATGCTATCTGCCCGCACTGTCATTACTTGAAGTGGCCCTCTCTACCAAGTCAGAAATACACATTGTCTGGCCCTTGGAAGATTTTCGTCGGAGACTCTCATCAGCACTAGTATCTTTGTTCACTTTTCCATATGCCTGCCAGTTCGTACAGTGGAAGTGCAGCTGTTATCTGTTTTCTGTACATTTAAATAGAATGCTCTTTTGAGTTTCCAGCACCCAACTGTAACTTAACTAAAACCCTAAACTTCAGTAAAATTGGAGATACTGAAGCAATTCAGGATGTTACCTTTATATATACAAGTTCTGCAAGTCACAGGAAGATTTTCACCTCTTAACCTTCTTCTAATAGAGATTAAATGCTAGTCCTACTGGAGCTAGAATTGAGGAGTCACAGCAGCAGTTTTAGGGGTACAAATACTCCATTTCATTTCTCTTTTAAAGAAAGAAAGAAAGAAGCCCAAGTAAATTAATTTGACAGGGGATCTTTAACTCAGTTTCTCAATTCATCACTTTCCCACCCCAAGCATATGAAGTCCTTCCCAAATCAGCTGTTGCAACAAGGATTTCTAGGTAGTGACAAGGAAGCAGTCCTACACAATTCTTCAAGGACTGAGAATAATGTGAGGGTGCTCACTGTTCTAATTTGGGGCGATGCTTTTATGTTATAAAGCTATCACAAACAAATGCAGACAAGCAGAACAGATCTGAGAACAGAGCTGTACTACACTTCGAGTACCTTCAGTCTCTAGCCGTGGCCATTTTTCAATAACAAAAGCACTGAAGAAGCTACAGCTCGGATGGAACAAAGCTTTTCACACTTCGTTTTGTAGAATGATTTTGACTAAAAAATACAATTAAAAAACCAGTGAAAGTTTAATAGAGGGCATATCAGCTTGACATACATGAAAATAACTTACATAATAACTGATTTCCTTTACAGAAGGAAACAGTAATTGCATAGAGCACGTCCTTTTCCTAAAAGCTATGTACATTGACATATGGAAGAAGGCACAGAATTATTTCTGATAAACAAGTACCATTTGAAATCCCAGGTTGCTGCAGATCCCCTTGCATTCCTTGGACAGCTTCTATTATTGTTCCTATCAGCCTAATGCTTGTGTTGTTTTATGTTAAGGTGGTCACACCAGTATGTTGATCCCATTATGCAGAGTAAGCAATTGGTCTCTAGCCAGTCAGAATTCTGTAAGCTGTTTAAGGAACTGATCAAAGTTGAATAGCTGCAATTACCACTCAGGGCCCAAAGAAAGGCAGCATTCATGTCAGGGGTGGGGGCAGGGGAAAGAAATGAAGTCAACATCTAAACAAAAGGTAAGTGCAGCATCACAGGCCTTAAAAACAGGACTTGCACTGAATGGTGTTTGGAGCCATTTAAATGGCAGTCATTTAATCATTTTAATGAAGATAAATGAAACAAAGCCCTTTATATAAACAGTTTATTTACTCTAAACAGCAACACAGACAGAACGCCATATAAACACAAAGGAAGTGATGCAGAATAAGGATGCTGGCTGACTTTGGATTTCAGAGGCTCTTAAGCAGTAACAACCTAGTTTCTTTTCTGAAAGATAGAAAACAAATTCAGGGAGGGAAGGGGGTGGAGGGCATGATTTTTTTTTCCATACAGCCAGCTAGGGGCTAAATATAGTTCTAACATTTTAAAGCATGCCTGCATCAGATAGCAAAGTAACTAGAGATACTAGTGAATTTATAGAAGTATAAAAGTTTATAATTTTACAGCAGTTGAAATACTGACATCAATATTAAAATAAAAGCAAGTTTTACATAACAATCAAAAATACAAAAGACTGAAGGAAGAGACCCTGTATGAAAAAACTGGGGGCAATTCAGCAAATTTAGAACTGTATACAAGTGGCGAATATGGAAAATGGCACACATACAACCCCCTCCCCTAAGTGGATATTAATTGTACATAGCAACATTAGATTTTGCAAAAGTTTTGTAAACAAGTTCTTGCCAAACCAATCCCTTCCTTTTAAGATGCTGCATGACAGATACTTATGATGGTGCAAACTTCTTGGCTTGTGCTCGAACCCTCTTTTCATATTCCACTCTGTTTTGGCTGAATAGAAGAGAGAGAAAGGGTAATTACAGCTTGAGAAATCAGAGGCCATATTATAGTGTTACTGTTCTCTCCAACATGAAACTAAGTCATTGCTGAAGACTAAAACTGTTAAGATAGGAATTCACTGAACAATACAATATACTAAAGGCTTTTCTGGATCATCACTCTGATGGTTTCCTTGGAGGGAACTAAGGTACTGTTTAACTAGTTACTTCCCAAACTTCATCTATTGTCACTTGACTGTACTATCTGACTTCATCCCATACCAGTCTCTATACAGGTTTGCGCCTGCTCCATCTCAAGGCCAGCTGTACCTTACATGCAAGCATTCTTATTTCTCTGAACAGAGAAGTCTTCCCCTCACTGTGTTAATACCTCATGTCATTAACAATAAATTCCAGTATCCTAACAGCACAAAGTGGTTGATGAAAGCAGCTCACTAATAGCGGATGGATTTTACAGTATCATCTTTATTGCTTTGGGGAGAGAGGAGATGTGCTCTTTAAGAAACCTGAAAGTGGTAACAGTATGGTAGTTTCAGCCTTCATCTCTGCAGACCCGATTCACGGCATTAGGGTTATCCTAACTTTCAGTTGGAAAAAAGCTAGCTCAACATTTTGAAAAACACTATAGTTCACCAAGTCTAACAAACTTGCTACGGATGGATTAAACAAGCAAGTACTACTTCAGGGAACTATGACCAGTCATTAAGCACCAGACTCAACACATAAAAGTGCATGTTCTTTGCCTTCTGTTCTTGGGCCAACGAGGGATGGCAGTAGCTTAGTAGAGCATCCATTTACATTCAACACTGTATTTTGTATTAGCTGTCAGAAGTGTCAGTAAAGAGCTAAACAAAAATTTGTTACCATTACTCTTGTGCCAAAGGTAGTTTACAGTGACTAGATTTTGCAGACAGCTTTGCAGTAAACTTAACTTACTTTCAGCTATGAAGACTTGCTGCAGTAAAAAAAAAAAAAAGGCAGCAAATTGTATCCTCAGAAGCTGACAGTTTGGGGGGAAACAAGAAATGAAGCCGATTTTGGTCACAATCAATGAACAATTACCAGCAAACAGACTGAAAATACTCTAGTTTCTTCTCATAAACCAACTTACGAGCTTTATTCTACAATGTTTCTTTAAGTTCTATTGCATTGCCAAGTGAGAACACAACCTAGCTGTCATATCCCATGCCTTCAGAATCCACATGGAAGAATGCCTGCCACAGTAGACTCTGCATGCCTACAGCAGAGCGGAGGAAGCAGGTTAGCACATTAGGGGTGCTAAAGTTACAGATCAACAGTACCAAAGCAACCCTGAGAATGAGAACAAGTATTCTTATTTTGAATAGAACAAAGTTTATTCTTCAAGTTTAACAACCTGACTAAAAGAAATCTGTTTAAACAACACTGCATCTTCCCCAGTATTTATCAATTAGGCCAAACTGGATACATACACAATCCTGCCCTGTTGAGCGGCTTCTACCAGTTACTCATTAACCAGTAAGAGACACACACTCAGACTGCAGAAATACAGTAACCCATCTGAAATACTGTGCATGTCCAAAAGACACGACGAGGATAAATGGGAGAGTACATGTATTTAAGTAACAAAAAAATGTGTAATAGTTTATTCTCAATAGATTTTTTTTTCCCCCAGAAGCCCTTAAGATAAAGCAGAAGCAAGACTAGCAAAGACTGGTTTTGTACCTACAGGCATGTCAGAGGTGATAAATAAACGACACTGACTATACATGTACAAAATTATTATTCCTGCCCCATATTTCCTCAGAGCGGCTTTAAAAAAAAAAGAAAGAAATGGGGGGAAAGAGAGGCCTGCCTCATGATTACTGGCTCCCAAAGGTGTTGCCTACAACTGTGGCCACCTAAATGTCCTCCATATGCACTCAGTCCCACTAAGTCTTCAGCAGATAATTAAAAAAAGAACACTGAGTGAAGCCTTTATTTAAATCCAAGATGCACTACCCATCCCTATGTTTCCTTTTCGCTAGGATCCTGTAACAGATATTTTTGACATAACTTGCATGTGAAGCCTCACAAAATGCCATTTTTCAAACTTGGCACTCTCTCGGATACTTGCTCTTCTGCCCAGAACGGTAGTTCCACAGCTCCATCTTGGTCAGTAGTTCAGTAGCTGTCAGTGCCAAAAGCATTTGTTTAAAGTGTTTTGCACCCCTAAAGGTTACAGATCAGCCATCCATTTTTAATGGTGAGAAAATTTAAAAAATTAAAAAAGACTAAAAAAATAAAAAGCACTTTTTAGCTCACAAATTATCACCTTTCCTAACCAAGGCCAACTCCATTCTGTTAAGGCTACGAGCTTTCTGTACTTTTTAACTCATTCTTTTAGAAGATCTGGTTCTCACAAAATGCCACATATGCTACAGTGATCGTAGAAGCTCTCCTTTACCCTTCAGGCACAAGCGCTTACAGGAACCCACTACTGGACAGAAGTTAAGTTACTCCTGTACTGATGAGCAGGGCTTCCCACCCAATTCAGCCTCCTCTATCATGGGTCTCATGAAATCACTATGCCTCATCACTACTACTCAGTTAGCCTTTAGGGGAAAGGATTCGATGTTGGGCTAGAACCAGTACAAGAATCATGGTCTAACTGAAGGAGTCTTCACACTAGTGCTGTTGAGATGCTACTAAAAGCTCCACTAGCCTATTGACTGTGAAGCTACTGTTTTGTTCAAGTTCAGCACAAGCTAGTCATCTCACAGGATACAGCCACGAAGGCAAGAAAAATCCCCGATCATTCCTAAAAACATTTGCATGTTACACTAAGTAACAGACAGCTGTAGGCAATACAACAGCTTTCAAGCTGATACACAAAGATACTTACCAGTAAATTGTGTAAGCCTCTGCTTGAGCTGGATCTTGAATATTTGGTTCATTTAGAAGTTCCTGTATTCCTAACAAGATCTGTGGAAGAAGAAATAGAAGTAACACAGGCATGGATATTACTAAGAGACATTCAATTAAAAAAACCTGTTAGATACCAACTGTAGAAACACAGTGAACATCTTGCATTCACATCAGATAAGCAAGCAAAGCAAGTAAAAGGGCTAAAAATAGGTCTAAGTACAACGAATGACCTGTTTAATTGTGATTGCTGGCCTCCAGTCCTTATCCTCCTCTAAGATGGAGAGACACACTGTGCCTGAAGGATACACGTTTGGGTGGAATAATGGTGGTTCAAATTTACCTGATGAAGAAAAGAGAATTACATGCAGTGCTAAGACTAAGATCAGAGAATTGGTTTAGATCAGTGGAAAGAAACCAAAACTGTCCAAAGACACTCCCACACCACACACCCCCCTCAAAAAAAGACCACACAGATTTCTGGAGCTATTAATACTGGTTTTCTTCTTTGCTCAGCCTGCACCTAAAGCAGGAACTCCCATCACATCTGTGGTATCAATCCAAGCAACATAACACTATCACTGTGACCAGTAATCTTTTGGTTTAGGAATGGAAACTGACTGAACAGTTTGTAGAAGCTTTGTGATAAAGAACTTTTTAAACCAATCCTGTCTTTACAGCCTCACATACTGCTATACAAAGGAAAGATACTGCCCTTCACTCATCTCTTCACTCCTCACTTCAAAATACTGAAAGTTCTATACATGAAGACTAAGTTTCTAGAGTGTTTTTCAGTTTCACTTTTTCTTTATGTAATCAAGATGCACTGAACAAGAGGAACCAAGTTTAAGTTGCAAGACTAACTGAAGGAGTAGGCTTGTGCAGCTCTCCTCCTGTCACTCAATGTATATTCTGACATTTCTTTAATCTTTACAGGACTTAAATGCAATATCCACCATCTTAATTAATGTAATGAACTCTCGTTTAGCAATACATGTTAGTGCAGTTTTCTAATCCACCTGACATTGAACTAAGTCTTGCTTATGAGCTGCTCCATGAAGTTCACTAGGAACTAAAAAGCTGCACTTTCTTACCAGTCACACGTACACCTTATTTTACGGCACGACAGTTCATTTAATACTTGCAGGATGTGCTAGCTGGCATTTCTCAAGATATTAATGTTAAATATTTTCCAGTTAAAGGGTATGTTTCCCCTTGTGTCACATGTATTTAAGTGGTAACAAACAAAAGGAGTAGCCAAGACAACCACTACAGCTGGAACACTAAAATGAAATGAGAAACAAAGCACTGTCAAAAGAGACATTTATAATCACTGTCATTAATTTGAGACTGTAGCCAATTCAAGAATCAAGAAACTAGGCAAGGCAATAGACGTTTTCAGAATTCCAAAGAAGCTAAGTTTGAGATGGGATAAGGAAAATTCAAAAACTTAACAAGGAAACTAGGTATCTGAAGAGATCCATGGTACACAGTATCAGAAAAATAATAGATCCACATTTTAGAGCAAGTCCATGAAGGGGTTAAAGCTGATGGAACTTTTTTTTATTATTATTTTTTCTAAGTTCTTGCCTTCTGAGCTCTTGGCTTAGACCAACTTAACAGCAAGAACATGCAAAGGGTTTTGTCTAACCATGCCTACCTATTAGTTTCCGAAGAGTGCTAATCAAGTAGTGAATAGTTCAAGTTGTGCTTCTGTCATACTTTCGAGGAATTCCACACAGCAGTCCCCCTGCCCTCCCAATTTTGTTTTATTGAGCACTTATTCCATCACAACTTTCTAAACGGTAAGTGGTGGGCGGGTAAAAAAAGAAACTTTCCTTTAAAAAAAATCTCCAAGAAAGTAATCATCATTCATAGAACCTCATGGACTAGTTTAACACTGTTCTAACAAACCCATGTTTTTTCAGTCATTTTACTTACATTTTGGGGGTGAAGAAGGGTAGTCATCCTTGAAAAGCATCCGTAGTTTAAATAAGCCTCCTTCCCATGGTGTCTATAAAAAGTTAAGGTAGAGTTTAGATTACAGCAAGGGAAAGTCAAACTTGCAGAAAAACGTTTATCAAGAATACAGTTTCTCATGCAAAGCACAAGACATCCTTCTGCTACAGAGCAGAAAACAGCTGTCCTACACTGTAGTGTGCTGTCTAGACTGAGACAAGTTATGCTACTTATATAAGCAGTTGAAGAAAGAAACCCCTGCTTTCCCACTTCGTTACAGCTAGTAAGTGTTGCCGAGTGATAAATAGTCAGGATCATCACCAATAATTCCATTTACAACTAAAATTTTTATAGTACACAGAAGAACAGAATACTTCTAAAGTTTTACATGATACACCTGCAATGAGGAAGGGAACATTATACCCCCACTTAAAATAAGTCTGAGAGGATCAGATATGGGTACACCCCTTAAGCACATGGATGTAAATGACTTATTCTTGGTCCCACAAGAATGTGGCTAAGAAAATCACAAACAAACAAAAAACTTGGACAGCACAGTAGTACTGCTACAGTTAATATGAGGTTCACTAGTTTAAACTAATCCTGTCTGCGTTTGGTAGCAAGCAGTCTCAGAAATTCCATCTTTGTGTGTAACAGAAATTCTAAGCAGCTTTTTATCCCGCCATAAATTGGGAAGAGCACAGATAAGAGCAGTTCCCATGCTACAGAGGAGACCAAATAAGAGAGCACTACTCAAAAGGGTCATATAAACACAGAAGAACATCTAGCAAAGGACAAAAACCCTGTCTCAAATATACACTTCCTTGTCATCTTACTTGGAAATAAGGAAAAAAGCCCATCTTCTAACAAACTGATTTCTGGTAAGAAGTGTAGAAATACAGAAAAGTTTATTACATATGTGAAATTCAAACCACTTCTCTGTAACTTGCCCTTGCTACGGAAATACTGCAATGAAAGTAAGCGTTGGGTTCATTCTTCAAAAACTGCAGAAAAGATGGTCTCGTATCTTATCAGCGTAAATGATCAAATCTTATCCTCAGAGACAGACAAGTATGTCTGAAGACCACCTTAGGGGGAAATCCCTAATCCTCTCCTACCTGATTTAGGTGATTTTTAGCAGAAGAAAAAAAGAAAAAAGAAAGAAAGAAAAAAAAATAACCAAAACCCAACAAAAACCACCAAAAAACCCCCCCACCCCAAAAAAGAAAAAGCACTCCATTGTCAATGGTATGTATTGTACAAATTTTCAAGGTAGAATAGGAAAAAAACATGCTACAGAATACCAAGATAACTGTGTTTTAAAAAGCACATGAGTTTGATTATATTCGCTACAGTGTATTTAAAGAACTTGTTCTGAACAGCTGTAGAAATACCTGTTCTCCACACCTTCTCAGAGGAGACAAACTTCTCCATTTTTAGAATAGAGGAGCCTTTTGATAGAATAAACTTTTCCTATTCTGTTTGCTTCCAGTCATAGGTGAAGACAAATAGCTTTTAATAACTTCAATTAGAACACCAGAACAGTCAACAAGAAGTTTTTAGTTTCCCTGATAGAGCAGCATACCTTACAGATGAAAGAGAGCAGACACTCAAAAGCTTTACTAAGTTTTTTTTCATCAGCGTGAAAGCAGCAGCATCAAGGTGGTACTGCATTACCGGACTGGCTGCAGATGCCCGAGTCAAATTCTAGGAGATGGCATTTTTACTTAAGTAACCCCCCTGATTTTTCAAAAATAAATCTCTACCAGGAATCAGATGAGCATAACTTAACTTTTCCTGGTGTGATGCATTTTCTAGGAGGAAAGAAGTTAGCTGTAAGGGTCTTGTTCATTTCATTTTGTGGTTCGCAAAACTTTAATAGCAGTAGCATGAAGATTTTACGTATTTAAAGGTGACATCTTGATAAGGTACCTAACTGACTATTATGAGGGATCATCTCGTTTTGGCAGAACACACGGGGAAGAGTTTTTCCTTACACTGTTGAATTATTTTGAGGTGGTTCTTTAAGAACTGGCTTGAGCTGTGCAGACAAAGTACTGAGCTAAGTTATAACCGCAACAACAATGCCATGTTCAGGATTAAGCTGAGGCAGTGGCACAAAATCTGCAGGTTCTGCCTATATGCTTACTCTTCTCAGAATCTAAGAAATGAGATCTTCAGGAGACTAAGCAAGTTGGTAAGAGACAGAACAGGGAAGGCAACAAAAGACCCAAATACTAAAGACCCAAAATAATCAAAACCAGCAAGTAATTAATAGTATTATCTCAGAATAAACAACTGCACCCAATGAATTCAAGAATACTCAAAATAATTCAAATAATTTCTCTAATAGAAACAAGATTCTGTTCAGAACGCTATGTTATAACGGCAGTGTACAAAATCAAAGTTTCAATGATTATTTCCACTTGGGAGTTTGCATCTGTCCTATCCCCCAGAATCAGATCAAGCTGATAAAAATAAACAACTTTGTCTCTACAGACTTTTTCTTTTCCCCTGTTATTTTAAGGAAAGGAACACAGAAGCACAAGTGAAATCGGATAAAAAGAAAAAAAAAAAACGTTAAAGAGTTCTAGTTCTTCCTTCCCCAACACAAAAAGAGAAAAATCCATAAAATGGAAGGCAATGAGATTCCATGTTGGTAACACAGAACTATTTTCTATGAAAACCAAAAAGTTAAAACCAGTGCTACAGCACTTCTCTAGGACTGACGGGTCTCGCTGTTTTGTGGACAAAAAAGGTATCGGCAGTTAACCAGCAGAGGCAACACTTTGGTAATATTAATCTCCAAGCTTTAGGGCTTAAACCAGCACTTAGCAAGAACAGAAGTCACAACAACCCTGGCACGAAGCAGGAGACAATCTCAAGTTTGGTCAATGCAGGATTCTTATGCACTCCTCTGAAAACTTTTATTCTTAAGGTGGTCAGCACCAACAGCTGAACAGGCTCATGGTGTATTTTGTCCAGTATCATTCTTAGCCCACTCCACCTGGATTCTAAAGTAGCCCCAGGATCCCAGCATTTCTGTTGAACTACACGCAAGTCACACTCTCAGTTGTCAGTATAATGCGTGAGCAGGCTTATGTTACTTTTCACTAGAACTGAGATGATGTTAGGACAACAGTAAGTCTTACCCCTTTCTTCCCTGGAATAGCACACTCCCAGTTCATGAGATTCATTGTGCCATCTGGATTTTTTGTAGGTACTGCTACAAATCCCTGAATTAAGGCAAAAAGCCAAATGGTGAGAATTTCAGAAGATGTACTTAGAACACATCATGACATACTTTATCTTTACACAGAGTTATTTATTTTTGCACTACGTAGTTATAAGAAGGTTTTTTATTCAAAAAATTAATTAAAAAAAAAAAATCACATCAGGTTAAAAAAAAACCCAAAACATCAGAACACCAAAATAACTGCGGTCAGAAATTCGAGAGTTCTCATACTTACAAATGGATGATCTTTTCTCCAGGCTTTTCTCTCCTGTGCAAGTCTGCTAAGAGCTATGCCAGACATATTCAGAGTCCCTCTAAAACAAAAATATTAATTTTTAGCATAGACTTTTACTTACAGTGTAAGCAACACATTACATTACCCGTCTATAAGCCCTGCTCACTCAGGAACTATTTTGGCCTCTGATTTTCACTGCTATAGCTAAGGCACACACTTTTGCACACCCTGCAGAAGTTAACATCAGGAATAACATCCGATTTCCCCATGTCAACATCTTCTTCGTTACTGGACTTGACCGACAAAAGACTACCCAAATCTTGTGTTTTACATTTGAACTATATCTTAGAAATTACTTTGACAATACTTTGACAGTAGCTTGACAACAGAAAAACTAGCAGTAGTGGGAAAATTGTTCAGACTTCCTACTTGTGTGACTGATAAACACGTTATTTATCTTCTTACTACACCTCAGAAGTTATGGCTTTCTTCTGTAGGCAAACACCTGCACTGCTCCTGCTTCTGGCAAACGGGAGAATAAAATGTTATTTTTAGACTGCAAAGTCCTGTTGAAAGCCAGTATTATACACAAAAGCAACACAGGCACAGAACTACAAAATCACCTCAGTTTTGCAGTGATACCACTATACAACTACTAGACAGCAGCAGGAAGAGACAGCAATACAGAACTGAGCTAAGGAAGAGCCAGTGGCCCACTCATTCCACAAGGCAGGTTTTCAGTTCCAGTATAAACTGAACGATCCTTCTGCACCTTCACTGCCCTAAGAACAGCCAAGCATGGTGACAGAGACTGCAGAAGAAACATGCAGAGCACAGGTCACTACTGCATCTGATGCAAGTACAGTTCTAGACACGATGACTGCAATAGAGTGGTGCTTTCAAATTCAGGGGAGGATTCTCCAATCACCCAGAACAGTAGTCAAAGCAATAGTTTATTTTCCGTTGTCAAATTGTATCTAAACTCAGGGTTTCATTAGCCACATGGTCAAAACAAACTCCAATGAAGGTTTTCAGTCCTCCTCCCTACTGCACCTCTACCCATTTTAAGAAGGAGCTGATATTTGACAGTTGGAGAAGTCAGGCCAGTTTATTCTCAACTCCACAGGTAGCTAACAAGCCTTTATGACAGCAAGGAAAGCAGAATTCTTCCACTAAACAACGCCACAGAACCAGTTACAGGAGTATTACCACTCTATTAAAACATTGGTTAAGAATTAGGCAAAATTCATATTCTATTAATATGCAGATTACTTAAGAGTGCTGCAGTCTACTACCATAACCATATGAACTGTAACTCACAAAGATCCTCACTTCAAAAATCTCACATGTTCATGCTATGCCCTTTAGCATGATATTCATGCTGAAAAGATTTACCAGGCACTGACCTGTTCCATGTAAGATATGTAGCTATATTCACCTGCTATACCTTTTAAAGGCTAGAAGACAGCATGCTTCCAATTTAAGTATTTACACATCATCAGAAGTGGCTTAGCAGTGCAGACACCTTCACTAGAAGTCTTTAAAGGCATCAGATTAAGAGTCTTATGCAGTTCCTAGAGCAGCTGGTATTTCGAATCCCTCCTCCTAGCTTTTTTCCAAAGTCACTTTTGCATGGATGGCCACAACTCATAATTTCAACCTCAAACTAGCAACTAAATTCATGTCAGGTAAAGCTTTTTGAAAGGGACCATTAACACTCAGTAACAAGCACACACACACACAAATCCTATATTCAGTCCAATATTCCCCTAGTACTCCCAACATGTGCATCTGTATCTTGGTTACGTCAGAAGATTTGCAGGACTTAGTCAACACAAACTGGACATATCACTTCAGATTTTAGTCTGTTCACATGCAGGAGATGGGGTGCCACTGGAAATATACCAACAGAACAAAAAGGCTTTCCCTTAACCAAGTTACACAGGGAGTAATTTTAAATATTTTGTGAGCCCATACCCTTGCATCAGATGTGAACGAACTACTGAATACAAGGCAGAATTTGTGCTGTTAGTACCTGGTGGTCCACTGTAATAATACTAACCTTCCCATAATAATTTGAGAAAATTATTTGTGCTTATACATGGTTCAAATATTCTGAGATAGCTTACTATTTCAGCTACCTTTTCTGACAAGAAACATCCTACGGGATGCTTTCAAACACACAAATTGTACTTCCTGTGGCTAGCAGCCAATTAATTACATGCACCTCAAGGGAAACGCCAGCTTCTCAGAGGGCATATAAACAACGTATGTCCTACAGAACATTGCCAATCAAGTAACTTTTCAACAGGAAATACCCACAAGTCTTCAGGCTCTGTATCCTGCCTGCTTTTGCAACTGGTTATACACTACACTGTGCCCTAGTAAATTAAAGATTTTCTTAAGTTCTTTTCAAATCTTGAGGCATTTGACTTAGTTAAGCAGTGACAGACCACATCCAAAGTTTCAGTGTATACGAGAGACACAGGCTTCATGTATCCACCTCCACAGGCTTCAGTTACCCTGATAAGGGCAGACAAGCACCTAAAACCTCATCACAAACTCCAACCAAGTAGAGACTAGAGACAAGGACAACTGAAACCCAATTCAAAAATTAAGATCCCATTAGGTAAGCATCCCCTCAAAAGCAGACCAATCTATGAACAAATTGCCAATATATACTCTCTAGCAGCTCTTCAGTAAAATAATTTAAGTTAGTTTTGCTGGAGCTTGAGATAGGGCAAACAGAGATCGATTACCTCGGTATATATTTTGTTCTCAGAAATTATGGAGTAGCAGGAAGGAGTGAGATACTAAGTGGGTGTTAAACCTGAAGATATGATATTCTCACTGCTACTTTTATCTTCTTCAATAATTCATGTGCCTGGTTTGTGTGTTTGGCTTTTGGGTTTTATTTTTTTCCTCCTCTCTCACCTTTGGAACAGTAGTTTGCTCAAATATCTGTATGTTAAGTTTAGCTCTTGTAAGCTTTTGAAATACCCCAACAAATGCAAGATATTTCTATAACCTCAAATAGTTAAAATTAAAAAAAAAAAAACAAACAAATATAACACACACCACCAAAACCAACCAACCAAAAAAACCCCCAAACAGCCCAGTTCTTAGGGTTCTGATTTTTTGTTTTTTTAACATCACATCTAATTTCTTTTCTTCACCTGAGAAAAATTCTTCATGTGAGAACTGCTAATAAACAGAACTGAAGTCTCAGCATATTTATGCACTACATCATTGGAAAGAACACAAACTTCTGCAGCAGAGGAAGTTTATCAACCCTACCTTGCAGGGGCCACACAAGCCTAAGAGACCAGTCTTCACATTTTGTTTGGTTTCAACCCCCCCCAAGCACACCTCGGCATTAAGAAGTAGCAACGTCCTTTTTACTGATATCAACTCATTAGAAAGTTAAAAGCAACTTCCAAATTTACTCAGTAGCTTGCCTCTGCTGCTGTTATGACTATTTTGGAAAAAAAGGACAAAACGCCACCAACACCCTCTTCATAGGCGCAAGGTTTTGCGTTCCATTACAGATCATGTGACCACCCATACCCTCTGACCGATGGGAGGAGGGAACCTACTTGCAAACACAAAAAGTAAATCTTGCAAAGAAACATCCCCATGCCACAGGAACAGCAATCACACTCACAATCCTGACCCACGGCAAGTCTCTAAATACATCAACAACGTGCTCTTTAAGTCTCAAGAACTTTCGATAGCTCTTATTAATTCCAAACGCCAAGAAAAATAAAATCGTTAAGATTGCTAGCCTCACATTTTTACTCTGCGGGTTAAACACTAACACAGGAAGAAATTACCCATTGGAGTAGCTTGCCCCAAAACTATGCAAACTTTTACTTTTCAGAAGGGTGAAGAAAGCCAAGGGCTGAGGTTTAATCAAACCACGGTAACTCTGGACTGGAACAGAAAGTCTCGTCCTGCCTGCGGCACGAAAAAGGTGGAAGAGGCGGTACTAGCCGAACGGCTACCAGAGTCGCACGGCGAACAACAAAAGGAGCCGCGCGGCAATAGCTGCTGGTGCCCGCCCGGCCAAGTAACTTCGCCCGGGGCAGCCGTGGCGGGGC